ATACTTTCCGTACCCACTGTATATACACACACACACACACACTAACATTTAGAAGTTTATGGTCCTTACTCTAGTCTTCAGTGTCACATGATCAGTCAGAAATCATTCTAATATGCCGATTTTGTGCTCAAGAAATATTTCTAATTATTATCAAGGCAGAAAACAGTTGTTTAATGCTGCTTGATTATTTTGGGGGAAACTGTGATACATTTATTAAGGATTCTGTGATGAATAGAAAGATAACAGCATTTATAAGAAATATTTTTTTTGTAACATTACAATTGTTTTTACAGTTCCTGTTAACCTGATGGTTAAAATCTTGCACTACATGAAAATCCTGAATATTTTACATAATTTTTTAAAGAAATAAACTATATGGTCAAAAGTAGACACCTCTTTATGAATAATGTGTTTGGCTGGACCAGTTATTCCAGTTCAAATGTCCAAACAAATCTTAATTATACAGCATCCAATTACATAACTGTATGACAAATCTATGGTAACACTGGGTAGGGCCTTTACTATTCCAGCATGACAATACCCCTGTGCACAAAGTAAGGTCCACAGAAGTAGTTTAGAAGAGTGTAGAAGAACTTGCCTGGTCAAACCTGAACCCCCTATTGAACACCTTTGGGATGAATTGGAATGGATTATGAGTCAGTCAGCATCAGTGCCTGTCCTCATGGAGGTCATGCGTTTGCATTTTGTATTTAAACTTCTTTATTCCATGATGTACTTTTATGCATATTGTAACTTTCCTCCCTTCTTTTAATTGAACACCTTTTTGCAGGTCCCTCAGAGCTAAACTGTGAATATCTAATGCTGAACAGTGAATATGATAAATATCCAACATTCTTATTGTAATCAACGATTATGAGGAATTGCTAGAAGGCACTGGTATATTAAAGACCCCATGAAATCCAAGATAAGTGTCTGTTTTCTTTCCTGTGTTGACGTATCAAGCCTTCAAATAGAAAGTTACAGCAGCCAATATTTTTAATGTCCATTATTTTTAATAGCTGATGGACTCTCGTTTATAAATGTTGACACCTTTTGGGACTATGTTACTATATACATGGCCTGAAATCCAACAGACATGGAATAAAAGTTTAATGACCTGGATGGTAGGGCTGCACGATTATGACAAAAATCATAATTGTCGATTATTCCCTTGAAATTGTAATTGCGATTATTAATTACGATTATCACAATTTATATTGAATGATGTTTATACCACTGTTTGATGCAACTGCATGCCGTATTTTTATATGAAAATAAACAAGCTGAAAACTGTCGGGTCTCGGGTCTGATCACCTGTTTCTTGTGTCTCTGTGTTTGTGTGTTGTTGTGCGTGGCTTGTTTTGACAGCTCGCCACGTGCGCATATGTCAGCATGATTGTTTCCCCGCCCTCCTTGTTTCTCTGCTCGCCTCTGGGTTCACACCTGGTTCTGGTTATCTCATTAGCTTCCCCTTATAGCTCCTCGTGTTTCTCTGTCTTTTGTCAGATTGTTGTGATTATTCCCTTGCTCTGACTGTCAGTGTTAGTATCGCTTACCAGTCCTGTCTTGTCTCGTCCAGGCTCCAGTGCTCGTAGCTGCCTGTTTATTTTTCCGCAACTCTCTGTGCGTTCATGAATCCGTGGGCTTCCTCCGGCATCCGCCCACCCTGGGACTCTGCGGTCTCGTCGTTGGGCTGCTCAGCCTCTCGCTCGGATTAGTGAGCTGCCCCTCCGGCTTCCTCTCCACTGCCACTGTTGCGGCTTGTTCCAGCCGCTGCTATCCGCCTATCTGTGTGGTTGGGAATTCCACGTCCACACGAACTGTCCACGGAGGAGCTCATTGCCCGTGGTGATATAACGCTGTACAATAAAGCCCTCTGTTGAACCCGCACCTGAATCCAGTCTATTCCCTGACAGAACAATCTGACCACGATGGATTCAGCGGGATCGGATTCAGCGGGATCGGATCCGCTTCGTTCTGCTCTCGTGCAACAGGGAGTTTTGCTGGGGCAGCACGCCACCCAGCTCAACACCACAGCGCAAGAGGTGGGCGCGCTAAATGCCCGAGTCGCTGAGCTCCTCACGCGCGTCGATAATCTTCAGCGGGAGGCGGCTAACCGGGGTCCTGTCCTCCGCGCTGGTATTCCTTTGGATCCCGAACCTCATGCCAACAATCCTCCAGTGTATGATGGTGATCCGAATGCCTGCCAAGCCTTTCTCTCCCAGAATGTCATCGCTGACGAATTGGCGACTGTGGATCTTCCTCGAGAGCTGGACAATTTTATTAATCTCGCGCTCCGTGTGGAGAGCCGTCTCAACCGCCGCCGGCAACGCCGTCGATCCACTACTCCGTGGCGCCACCTGGAGTCCGCATCATTCGATGCGAGCATGTTAGACGGGTCCTCCAGCGCCTATTAGAGAACCAGTTGTTCGTGAAGGCGGAGAAGTGCGAATTCCACGCCGAGTCTGTTACGTTCCTTGGCCATATCATCTCTACCAGGGGGATTAAACCAGACCCTGCTAAGATAGAAGCTGTTGCCAAGTGGCCAGTCCCAGACCTCGCGTCAGGCCCGCTGGGCACTTTTCTTTGGCCGATTCAACTTCACCCTCTCGTACCGGACAGGGTCCAAAAACATTAAGCCTGATGCTCTCTCACGCCTGTTCGGACTCCGGAGGGGGAGCTTACGGCCGAAGCCATCCTTCCTGAAGGGGTGGTGGTCGGGGCTCTTTCTTGGGGTATCGAGCGGCGAGGAGAGGAGGCCGGTCGAGGGGTGCAAGTGCCAGGGAAGTGCCCGGTGGGCAGGTTGCCGGTGCCGGCTGTGTTGGGCCCCGAAGTCCTTCAGTGGGGTCACGTGTCCAGGCTGGTCTGCCACCCAGGGATTCGGAGACCGTTGTTTGCC